AGGAATGAGGTGAATTCGGATGGCATCCCTATGTGTGTTAGTGTGTGATGAAGGAACGGCCAGAGCAGGCGATCAAACGCTTTTTCCGCGTCTAGAGAGATGATCGCCGTCGGGATCTTTCTATGGTTGGCCAGCCAGATGAGGTCTATGGCTCTCCGGGTGTTGTCTGCTGCCTGTCTGTGTGGTATGAATCCCACTTGATCTGGATGTATGAGGGACTGTAGATATGGGTTTAGTCGGTTAGCCATAATTTTGGTCATGATTTTAAGGTCCACATTGAGGAGGGAGATTGGCCTGTAGTGTGCGGGTTCCGTGTGGTCTTTTCCCGGTTTGGGGAGGAGGCAGATGTTCGCCCCAGTCATTTCTGGTGGGAGGTTCTCCCCCTTGAGTGCTGCGTTAAAGACCTTGCATAGGTGCGTGAGGAGCAGTGGGCCAAACTCCTTATAGTATAGGGCTGTGTAACCATCCGGCCCTGGACTTTTGTTTGGTTTGAGGGGTCCCACTGCCAACGCCATTTCTTCTATCGTGACCTCTTGGCTTAGTGTCGCTTGGGCCTCTTGGGTGAGGGTGGGCAGTGTTGCGTCTTTTAGAAATGTTTCTATGCGTGCGGGCAATGTTGGCCTGGTGTCTTGGGGTCGGTGGTCATGGTTATAAAGGTCTGTGTAATAGTCCTGGAAGATTTTGCCTATGCTATCTGGACAGTCAGTCATAGTGCCAGTGTTTGTGCGTATTAATGTAATTCGTTTGGCCTCGGTGCGTTTTTTGAGTCTGCGTGCGAGCATGGTGTCGGCTTTGTTTCCCTTTTCGTAATATTTTTGTTTAAGCCACATCAGAGCTTTGGTTGTGTCTGCTTGGGTGAGGGTTTTAAGGAGGTTTCTAGCTGTGGTAAGGTTGGCCAGGGTGGTCGGGTTGGGATCCTTTTTGTGATCTGTCTCTAGACGACGGAGTTCCGTCATTGTCTCAAGTATTTGTCGTTGAGCCTGTTTTTTTTTGTGAGAGGCTAGGTTGATGAATGTGCCTCTGATTACTGCTTTATGAGCAGCCCATAGGGTCATGGGAGAGGTGGTTGTGGGCGAGTTTAGTTCAAAGTAGTCTTTGATTGCCGTGGTTATCTTGTCTTTGATCAGTTTATCGTGAAGGAGTATTGGGTTCAGTCGCCATGACCAATGTGTGTGAACGGTTGGTAGGTGTAGAGTGATTGCTATTTCGGCATGATCGGACCAAGAGATTGGTCCGATCTCTGACTTGGTGATTTGGGGTACCAAGTTTGGGGAGATGAGGAAATGGTCGATGCGCGAGTAAGTTCCGTGTGGGTGGGAGTAGAAGGTGTAATCTTTGGTGGTAGGGTGTTGTGCCCTCCAGATGTCTACCAGTTTTTGTGAGGCTAGAAATTGGGCGAAGAGGATATCATTTTGGTATGGGCGCGTTCGCGTGGACGTGAGTGAAGTCCTGTCTATGGCAGGGGTGTGGGCTGCGTTACAGTCCCCACCCACTATGAGTCGTGTGGTTGAGTAAATGTTGAGGTGGGTTGTTAGCTGTTGCCAGAAGGAAGTATCTGGTGTTGTGGGTGCGTATATCGAGGAGAAGGCGTATTGTATTGTGCCTATTTTTCCCTTTATGGTGACATATCTGCCCTGTGGGTCTTTAGAGCAGGTAATGTCTGTGAGGGGGCTATTTGCTCTCAGGAGGATAGCTACGCCTTTAGTTTTGGTGGATGGGGAAGGAGCATGAAAGCTTTGTGTGTAGTATCTATTTGTGAGTGGGAACGTGCGATGGGTTGTGAAGTGGGTTTCTTGTATGAGGAGTACGTCGGCTTGTTGTTTGTGTGCCCAGCGGAGGATGCTGTGTCTTTTGTTGGGGGAGTTAAGTCCTTTGGCGTTGATAGAGATGCAGCGTATGGACGTTGGCATGGTGCCTGTGGCGGTGTGGTGTTCCGTTCGGGTGCGCGGTGTTGGGATAGCAGGGGTTGCGCGTCTGAGTGGCCGCGGACCACGAGGGGGGGAGGTTGGGTAAGGGGAGTAGGGAAGCGGGAGGTTATTTGGGGGTGAGGGGGGGAGGTGTGCTGCTGGGCTTATCCAAGGGCCAGCAGGTATTGGGGCGAAGCGTCCGACCGCTCCGTGGGTTTTCCCTGAGAGTTTGGGTGGATTTGTGTCAGGGGTTGGCGACTGTCCAGTCTGAGTCGTCCTAAGGCAGTTTTCAGTGGGTATCCGAGTTTCTACGCCTGCTATGGGTGGTCATCGTCTTGTTGTTGATGTTTCTGTGGGATATGTTCGTTATGTATTGTGTCGTGTGGTGGTAAGGTCGTACCTTGTGGTCTCGTGAGTCAGTAGTCTGGCTGTCTGGTAGGTCCCCATGCAGTTTAGTGGTGAGGGAGGTTCCGTCATCGTCCGGTCTTGAGTTGTCGGTAGGGCGCTGTTTGCCGTGTGTGACTTCTGTGAGCCTATGTAACTGGGTGTATCCTGTAGCTGAAAACCAAACATCATCATTTGTACATTTTGTAACATATTAGTTGAACTTCAACCTGAACCTAGTCACATTTATACCTTCAACTGTGGGGTCTTCTCTTTGGGGGTTCTTGGGCCTTCGTTTAGAGTGTCCCTCTGTGATGCTTTGAGTGGTTCCCTGGGTAGAGGGCCTACAGGGGGGATAGTAGTTTGTCTTAGTGGAGCTATAGTCCCCCTGCGCCTTCTAGGCCCAACCTGTCTGTTAGTAGGATGTGCGGTGTTCCCATCCCTAAACTGGCCTGTCAGTGTTATCGAGGAGCCCCCTGCATGCGTTGTTCCCCAGGGGGGGCGTGCGCAGCATTACGCTTGTCCGGGCCCGTTCATTTCCTAGGGTATGCTGTTTGTACAATGTCCCAGTGTGGCCAGTGGGAATGTCATCTGACCTGTGGGCTAGGGGTGGGAGCTTGACTACTCAACCCTGGCGCAGGTGGTTCAGGGGCTCTATGAGGGCCAGGTGTCTTACTGTAGGGTCAGGTGGGTGAGCGCGTGGCTCGGGGGGGCCCCAGTAGGTCTTGGTTATGTCCCTGGACCTTGTCCGTGGTTGGGTGGGCTCCACACTTATTGCCTGGGGCTGGGGGGGTATGTCGGTTGTAACTTAGGTCAGGCCTGTCCCCTTGTTATTAGCCGTGGTAGCTAGGTTTGGGGTGGTCCTTGGGGTTTGCAGTGCGGTGCCATCCCCCGTGTGTAGTAGCTTACACCGAATGGTGTACTAGTACCCGCCGTCTGTATTATGTGCTCTATCATGTCAAGCTAGGAGTGTTAAACAGCTAAGCATAGTACATATATATATATATAAATATAACATTTAAGTTAAGGAAGTGGTGCGTTAAGCAGATCTTATCTGGAGTTTGGTGTCATCAGCGGTTGTATCGGTAGTAAGTCCAGCATTAGGATGTGGAGAGGTCTGTGGTCGTTGGTACCAGTTGTAGTCGGATCGATGAGTCTGGGGGAGTAGTGAGCTGCTGCATGGGTAGTCAGAGTTCTTTTTGTGGGCAGTCCGTATTGGGTCGTTCGTCGACCTTCTGTTGGCTTGTAGGGTGGTGGGTGGTCATCTTGTCGTTCAGTTTTCGGCCCTGGGGCGCGGGCTATTGGGTATCTGGCGTGCCCCGGTAGGCGGTGGTGCATTCCTGGGTGGAGGACCTCTTTCGCTTCTTCTGGGATTTGGGTCAGCGGTGAGGGTTGTAGGGTCAAGGCCGAGGCTCTCCGCGAAGTCGTGCATTTCAGCTGTGTTGTGTAAGATGTAAGTACGGTTGTTCTTCCTTACTTGCAGCTTGAATGGGTGCCCCCATGAGTAGCGGATGTGTTGCCTTGCGAGTTCTTGGGTGAGGGGCCGTAGTTCCCTTCTCTTTCTTAAGGTGCTCGGGGCTAGGTCTTGGTAGAAGGAGACTTGGTGTCCTTCTAGTTGTAGTGGTGTGTTTCGGGCTGCTTGCATGAGTGCTTCCTTGATATGGAAGTAGTGCACTCTGATAATGACGTCCCTGGGTTGGGTGGCATTGGGCAGGGGTGTTCGCAGGGCCCTGTGTGCTCTGTCCAGCAGGAGTTCCGCCGGTGAGGCTTCTGGGAGTAGGCCGCAAAAGAGCTCCCGCAGTGTTGGGCCTAGCGTATCCATGTCGACCGTTTCAGGCACCCCGCGTATCCTAATATTATTGCGGCGTGACCGATTGTTAAGGTCCTCCTGAGCCTCTTCCAGTTGGCGGACCTGGTCTTGGAGAGAGGCTATGGCGTTTTCATTTACCGTGGTGCGTGTGGTTGTACGGTCAAGCTGTTCCTCTATGGCCGTGGTTCTGTGTGTCAGATCAATTAGGCCCTCTTTGATGGGTGTGAGGTGTTTGTCGAATTCCACCTTCATATTAGCTTTAATTTCTTGTAGTAGGTGGTGGAGGTCGTCTTTTGTTAGTGGGGTAGAGGTGGTCGCTCTGCTTGTGTCGCTGGCTGCTGAGTCTGAATCATAGCCGCGGCCATCTTCTGAGCGCATGGCGCCGCCATCTTTGCGGCTCCGAAAAATCGGCGCTACCTCCGCGCCTTGCTTTGATTTTCGTCCGCCTCCCATTGTAGTTCAGGTGAGTACCGTGGGGAGCAGCTGGGGTGACCAAGTGGGGGTGGATTGAGCGGTTACGGGCGCTGTTGTTAGCCGGCTCTGTGCCTCTGTGGACGGAGCTCCCTCAGAAAGCCGCCATTCGCGCCGGAAGTCAGGCGCCGCCCCTTAAATCCCCATTTAAATGCTTATTTGCAGCGTTCACTTTGAGCACTGCAAACAGAGCATCGGTCAGTCTGGGGCCACTAATTCTGGCCCCAGGTGAGACACGTGAACCCCAAGAATCAAATGATACCTGGGGCTCATAGTTACCATTAAGGTAATAGACCCTGCTGGAAAAATACTGCATGACGGATATTTTCCGTCACGCGTCCTTAAGGGTGGGATCAGCATGATGGAAAATTTCCATCACGCGTCCTTAAGGGGTTACTCGATTATGAAAATAATCAGTAGTTGGAGCCCTAATTCCAACAATGTTAATAGGTACTATTACCATAGATCAGGCAGCCATTATCATACCCTTAAAGCTACATCCCCTTGTAAAAGGGTTTTTGATGAAACAACAGTGTCAAATACAAAAAACAGTGTAAAAAGTATTTTAATTACCAGCAACAGTTACAGTTGTTTTGGTGACACACATCACTGAATTCTACAATATTGAGGATGATAAAATAGGTTTTTTTAGAGGTGTGGATGTACTAGTATGGAATTGAGCTTTTGGATTTCAGTTCTTCGTACTAAGATGCCCAGTCCATCTCGAGGTTCAGCTTTTAGATTCCGAAGGTGATATTGGATCAGTGGGCTGTGACCATTCAGGTTAAAGAGTTTCTTTTCAAAATTTGGACCAGAACATACTGAAGGAGCCTAAAAATAGATATGACAATATCACACAATACTAAATGTCTTAAACATTTATGAATGCATTATGCATCACTGCTGGTAATTAGGGTAAAATAAATTTGATATTTGAAATTAATTTACTGGTGCTATTGTCATCACATAATTTGTTAAAGAACCACTATAGACAACCAGACCACTTCACTCAATGAATTGGTCTGTGTGCAGTGACTTTATTTTTAAGTAAGTGTTGTAACTTCTAGTGGATGTCTTCCTGCACTTCCCTGTGCAGGATATTCTTGCCATCCTTGTCAGGATTGATGCTACAGAGTCTATTTTGAAGGGTTTTTGTGTGATCAAGTTTAATTATGCACTAAAGGAAGTAGCAGCTCTAAGTACACAAACACCAGTATATTTATCTTTATTTACCTCTTTAGCTGGGCATATTTTCCGTGATGACAACCTTTTAAACGATTTTCTCATTTGCTTCTTTCCACCTTTATTATAAGTGAATCCTGCAAAAATCAGGTAGAAATTGTGGATGATTAAATAGATTGCAGAGATTCTACATGTGCATTGCTTTGACTGCATGCCATTTTAACTAGTCACATCTGAATTATCAAAACAGTATTTGTCAACAACAATTGTATTATGTGTTTTCATATCTTAAATGTAACCGGAAGATGGGTTGATGCATATCAGAATGATTGTCTAGGGACCTACATAACAAAGCTATCCATTGCAATATGTGCAGAGAGTTTTCAAAACTGTGCTATTATGAATGTGGTATTAGGTATCAAAATAATTGTGTAAACTGTACCAGAATGGAAATAGCTGGATCCCCTTACAAATTATTTCCAAAGTTCTGATTTTAACAGGATCTGTGTAATATTTAGGAATAAACTTCCTACAGAAAATGGAAACTTGGAAAGTAACTCATCCTATTTCTCTTCTTCTTAAATTAAGTTTCTGTCTACAAAGATCTTCAGAGTTTATCAACACCTTATTGTTTTTTTTGTGTTTTTTCTGACAAATTATTCACCTTTCTTTTGCTTTTCCGTCCCATGAGCCAGTTCAGCTTTTGGTTCCAAAGAACCATAGTCCCACTTGCTGTGGATTCCTGGACTGGGGTAAATACCTGAGAAAGATAACAATGTAAATGGACAAACAGGAACATATGCAATATTTGCATTAAAAGTGTATTGCATAGATAAATGTAGGTTTTTCCAACTGCTAGTAGGTAGTTTGGCCCAGCAACAAAACACAGCAACACTTTGATCTGACAGGCATTCATTACAATCTAGCATCAGTAACCAATTAACATTTTCTGACTTTTGACCCATATCACACAACAGTTAAAAACCCTAATTTTTCAAGAGGTAAGAGAAGACAAGATATGCTCTAAAAAGAAGTATAACTTCTACAGTATATTAAATAGTATTGTATTATTATATTAAAATAATTACAGTTTTCTTTTAATGTAAATTAACTTGCTATTCATTTCAATGTCAAAATATATTACACAATGCTACTAATTTCAGTATGTTTAATTCCAAACTATTTGGAATGCTAATGCTGAAATAGTATAACTACTGTTTGGGACTGGGAGTATGATCTCTCACCTGCAATCCATTGCCAGATAAGATCGCACAGCTCAGTTTTAAAGTCATCTGACTGGAACTGGTACAGAGACTGGGGGAAAGAGCAGCAAAACCCACTGTATATAGCCTGGCTTAGAAGTGATGGGTAGACCTGGTTAAAAAGAGGGGGGGAAATGCTGTATACAGACATTTTTAAAAATTATTTTATAATTTAAATACATGCTTTTTTTATTATTTTATAATTTAAATACATGCGTTGAAGATTTGGCCAAGCAAACTTTTTATTTTTTTATTTTTTTTTTAAACATCACCTTTGAAATAGGTTTCCAAACAGAGTTACTCACTGAAGTGAGAATTCAAGGTGAATTTTCAAAGTGGACAATAGATCTGGAAGATATGTATGTATAGAATAGCCACACTCAATTAATTATTATTTGTCTAACTAAATAGTAAACGAACAACAATACATTCACCCTATTTTCTATTCTTTATAGTCCAAAAATAATTTAGACTTTCTATAACCAATTTGACAATATTTCCATTGAAAAAGCCGCCAAAGCGGAGAAACGTGTTTGGAAAGGAGCCGATCCCACTACTGGCATCCAGTCCACACAAGACTTCTACAAAGCCTGGTGCAGATTTAACCTACATACACTCAAGATGCCGAGCAATCTGGATAAGGTCTGCACTAAATTGTTATTTGTCGATATATTTCTGTCTCTAAATATAAACACTTATTGCATATACATATGTATTTTATAAATTGCATCTACGGTATTTTATAGAAGTATGTTTTAATAAAAGTCAAACCTTGTAATATTGATTCTGTGTTTTTGATGAAGAAAAAATGGATACCTTATAACATATATTTTTCTTGTATGTTTTACTTTTATATACCGGGATTCATTTAAATTCTGTGGAAATAAGCCAGAATCGTGGATTACATGATGATCAATGAACTTTAAAAGACTATCTAGGTATCTTCTACAAAAAAAACGTATAATCTGTGAGCAAATCTTATTGCACAAAGACTTATGATTTTGGTATTTGTTGACCTGATATATTGAAATATTGTCAAGTCCATGATTATGTTGGACTATAGAATATGGTGAATGTATTGTTGTTCTTTTTTGTATTTAATGATTATTATAGGTTAATAGGTTTCCTATGTTTTCACCCTTTCTCTTTATCTTTTAAGTAACATTTTAATTTTCCTTTAAGCGCCTCTCTATAAATCAGTTTATTGTAAATAGTCAATGAGTCCATCAATATCCTTTTGGAAACAAATGGCATACCTGGGCTCAGATGGAGGTATACGAGTTACTAACCAAAATCCGTTTAAAGAGAATCTTGGGAGTTCTTGATAGTACCTTTAGTAAATTGGTGATTTAGTAAATAAAGTATAGAACTGAGCAGTGAAACTGCAGGGGCATGATCTGTACATCAAAACTGCTTAATTAAATGAACACTATAGCGTTAGGAATAGAAAGTCCACCCCCCTCACAACAGTTAAAGGGTTAAAAAACCCTTTTTCTCACTTACATTAGTCCAGCATTGAGGTCCATTGTTGCTGGCTAAATCTCCTCTGACGTCAGCTCTGAGGGGGAACCTAATGTGCAGGTACTGTGAGTGCCGTGAGCATTAGCCCTTCCCTATAGGAAAGCATTGGGATTTGAAGATGCAGGATGTTATCATGCATAGCATGAGCATGTCCAGCCTTGTTTCAATGATTCAAACTGCATAAAACAGTAGGAAATGCCTCTAGAAGCTGTCTAGTAAACCTCCACTGGAAGAAGTCTTAATTACCAATATGGATACCGCACTCTCCTGGATCCCAGGGTGCAACTGGGTCTGAGGTTGGCCAATCCTCACAATGTGATTTGCAGAAAAAGTAATGATGGTCCAGGCACTCCAGTTCAATCCAGTGGGCAGATTTATTAAGACAGAATCAAAACAAAGTTTCTACCCACAACAGGGCGTTTGACAAAGGCCCTGTTGTGGGCAGAAATGTTGTTTTGATTCTGCTTCAATAAATCTGCCCAATGGATTGAACTTGAGTGCCTGGACCATCATTACCTTTTACTGGAAGAAGTCTTAGCACTGCAATGTTAAAGGACCACTATAGTGCCAGGAAAACATACTCGTTTTCCTGGCACTATAGTGCCCTGAGGGTGCCCCCACCCTCAGGGTCCCCTTCCCGCCCGGCTCTGGAAGGGGGAAACGGGTAAAAACTTACCTTTTTCCAGCGCTGGGCGGAGAGCTCTCTGCCTCCTCTCCTCCTCCGATCTGCCCCGTCGGCTGAATGCGCACGCGCGGCAAGAGCTGCGTGCGCATTCAGCCGGTCACATAGGAAAGCATTCATAATGCTTTCCTATGGACGCTGGCGTGCTCTCACTGTGAAAATCACAGTGAGAAGCACACAAGCGCCTCTAGTGGCTGTCAATGAGACAGCTACTAGAGGATTAGGGGGAAAGCTTAACCCATTCACAAACATAGCAGTTTCTCTGAAACTGCTATGTTTATGAAAAAATGGGTTAACCCTAGCTGGACCTGGCACCCAGACCACTTCATTAAGCTGAAGTGGTCTGGGTGCCTAGAGTGGTCCTTTAATGATAGGGGGCTGAGGGGGACAGGGACACTACACCCAACCATTTCAATGAGATGAAGTGGTCTGGGTGCCTATAGAGTCCCTTTGACAGTAACAGTTTTGCCTTAAGCGATTACATTTAAGAGGTTTTTTTTTAATTTCTTTTTTAAAAACACAAGTATTCAGGACAGAACAGACGTAATGCTTACATTTAGGAAGGCCTCCCCATTGCGTGAGTTCAGGCATAAATTGAGAAGATGAACATAACTTTTTGCTACACGATCAAATAACTTCCTCTGGTACTCAATGTCTGTCTTTAAAACACAAATAAAAGAAGATATTATAGCCTCACTGTTATAATCAGTATGTTCTTATCTGCCGTCATATTCTATGTTTCTATGTAAACATAGCAGTTTCAGAGAACTGCTATGTTTACATTCAGGGTTAAGCCAGCCTCTAGTGGCTGTCTTCGTGACAGCTGCTAGAGGCGCTTCTGTGACGCTGAATGCGAAAATCGAACACCAGCACAACATACAAGCACACTCCTGCAATCTAACACAAATAAATAGCATTCAAACTAAAAAATAAAATATACAAACACACCCCTTCACTCAAACACAAACTTTACACAAATGTACATCCACATTTAAAAGTGAACATTACATTCAGACACATCCCTGCAATCAAATGCAAACATCACATACAAACACACCCTGTATTAAAACACAATAAATGTATACAAGCACCCCTTCAAACACCAACACTGTACATTACACTATAGCGCCAGTAAATGTAGAAATATACAACTTTGAAATTTTGACTTGGGGTGCCTTGGAAAAATACTGAAATATTAAGGGCGCCTTGAACCTAAAAAGTTTGGGAACCACTGTTATATAGTTTATTCAGCACAAATACAGTGTCCCGCATAAAAATTTAAAATACCCACTGTCTCCTCAATGTGGCATTGACCTTTGGTACATGGCTGGACTTGCATCACACTAAGCTAGGTACTAAACAGTGGTAGAACAGTAAAGCAAAGGAAAGATCTCCGTAATATAATTACATTTTTGCATATTATTTGTTTAGGTCTTCTTACCTTATACATATGGAGAAATATCCACAAATAGCAATCCAGAAGCAAATCTTTAGCCGATGTGGAACTCAGAATATGACGAACCACTTTGGATGAGCAGATCTGGTAATCGGTAGGAATGGTGTTTGGAATATAAATGCACAGCCAGCATAGTATTTAAATCCATTGTCTTTCATTTATATATATTCTTTATACCACTTTATTATATAAGGTTATTACGGAATTTTTATGTTATGTTTGTTGTAACCTTAAGTCTCAAAAAGAAGCATTATACAATAATATTATGTAAACAAGATATTAAAATTTAGAAGAGACAATCACAGAAGTATCGGTTTAAAAGGAAACTCCTGTGCCAGGAAAACAATCCATTTTCCTGGCACTGCAGGTTCCCTCTCCCTCCTACCCCCCAATGCTTGGTTGTTGAAGGGGTGAAAACCCCTTCAGTAACTTACCTGAGGCAGCGACGATGTCCCACGTCGCTGCTTCTTCCTCCGCGCCGCTCCTTCCTCTGATTGCATCGGCCGGTGGGCGAGACTGATCCCGCACACCGGCCGGGGAGACCTAATGCGCATGCGCATTAGCGCTCCCCATAGGAAAGCATTGAAAATGCATTGAAAATGCTTTCCTATGGGGAAATGAGCGACGCTGGAGGTCCTCACATAGCGTGAGGACGTCCAGGTTTCCTGTGCTAGAGACCAGGAAGTGCCATCTAGTGGCTGTCTACTAGACAGCCTCTAGTGGCTGTCTACTAGACAGCTACTAGAGGTGGAGTTAACCCTGCAAGGTAATTATTGCAGTTTATAGACCACTCCAATGGGCAGAAGTGGTCTGGGTGCCTGGAGTGTCCCTTTAACAGAGGGAAATACAACCTTGGGAGTTACAGGCTCAACTTAGACTAAAGAAAAATTACTGGGTAGTCACAGAACAAGAAGCATATACACACTAATGCCCTAGGTCAGGAACATCGGCTGAAGTAACAATACTTTATCTAACTCAAATAAAAGGCATATAATAGTTCAGCATTACATACACAGACTCTCCAAGAATGACAACAAAGGCATATAATTCAACTTACACACCCTATGCCAGGTGTAGGCACCCTTCAGCACTCCAGATGTTTTAGACTACATTTCCCTTGATAAGAAATACACTGCTATTTGGTGTACCGTATTTATCTATCGGTGCCTGTTTATACACTCTATATATACACATATTGTTCTTTATCACCTTTATAAGCTCATAACAGACAAGAATTAGATCAGTATGGTGACGTTTATATTCAGATTTAGTACTATTTTTAGGATTTATATGCATGGTTTTATATATCAATAAACTTGTCCTTTTTATTTTTTATCGTTCTACTTCTATGTTGTTACATTGAGGAGCGCACATACCCTTTTCTGACCTATGAGCTTTCACTCACTTAAGACACTTATTGGTGTATGTAGCTGTCCTTTTTTAATATATTTATTACACCTATCTCCACTAGTTTTGTACATTTCCCTTGATGCTTTGACAGCATTATGACTGTAAAAGCATTATAGGAGATTTAGTCCAAAACATCTGGAGTGCCAAAGATTGCCTAAACCTGCCCTAGGCAGTACTCAAGGTGAGGGCTCTCATGCGCTCCAACTTCAGTCAGGCAGCTGCTGCGGTAGTCACAAGGATCTCACAAGTAAGTCTACCCCATCATCTTTTAGACTGTTCAGGCTTTCTGGAACATAGCATTGCCAGCAGCAGCAAGGTAGCACCCTCAAGGCTTTCTTCAGAGTTGCTTGGCACTGGCTTGACTGAGCACAGCATAGGTACAGTTTATTTTCCTTGATCACCTTTTTGACCTTGAGGAGTGTGTAGGGGAACTCATGGTTGTGTGTTGAGTAAATATACAAAACGAAGCAGTAACATAGCTGATGCAGAGCTGTTGATGAGTGCCATGTGAAACTGGAACTAGCCTCCTGGTTGAGTAGCAGCAGGTATGTGTTATATCACACAAGCACCAAACCCTGTCAAATCAGGCGAACTCTTGAGGCCGGGATGACATCATCTAGCAATTTGGGAGGCAGGAGGACCAGGAAAGGTTCCAGATGAGGTCTGAAAGCACCGGCTCCGGAGACTGTTCAGCTATTCCAACCAACATGTAAGTCCCTTCTAACCTCAGCAGGTTTGTCAGATTCAAAACGTGTCTGACTGTATCCTCAAACTAGTAAATGATCTGCTTTTAGTTGTGCACAGCCACTGCTAAGAATCACAATCCTGGCACAGAGCTCCAGTAGAAGGCTACTATGCAGGATGACAGTCAGATTTATATTTTTCTTTTTTACAAATTATATCTTCATTTGGTTTTATACAGATTAAAACATTTCATACCAACTTAATAGACAAAGAAACTCATAAGACAAAGAAATGTAAGTGCTCAGCAAAATATTTATAAAAAGTGAGCTAAGTTAGGTAAACATCATATATATGTGGAATATTTTTGTAGACTAACAGCTCTTATGTTCCTTTGTATTGATATTTAACTTATACAAGAAAAGCAGATCAAGAGTAGAGAAGAGAAAAAATGGAGAGAGATTAAAAAAAAACAAAAAAACATGTGAGTGCTTGTGGAGGGGAGAAAAGAGGGAGAGAGCCCCACTCCTGCAGCAAATAATATTAAAGAAGTTTGAAATTTTTTTAATCCATTTTTCCCATAAGTCTTTTAGACTAGCTTTTACGTTTGATGAGGTTTTAATACCTTTTTCCATTTTCAGTTGGTAGCTGAATTGAACTTTAATTGTGGTCCTGATATTTGTAAAATGTTAAACATTCTTAAATGATAAAGTCATAACCAGCTTTTAATTATTAGTATTACATATATACATATAGAAAGTGGAAAAGAAAATCTTAGTTGAGAATATATTGACATACCTTGCCCCCAGTGTTTTCATGGCCTAAAACAACATTATTAATTATGGTGCTCAACTTAATCCCGTGAGGAAAAGGCAAAGGACCATCTTCTGAAAATCCCGGACATTGATACAATTCTACCAGTCTTGGCATAAGCTTCAGTTCGTGGGGGGAAAAAATATACCAACACAAATATATTATTTTTCACTTATGACTGTAAATATTACAGATATTTTAAACACGCAAATGACTTGCTCATTACATATTTATTTTCTTACAAAAATAACCACAATGACTGCCTTGTTAAACTTTCCATTTTAGCCTAATGGCTTCAATCTGTTTTCTTCCACTCTCTACATTTATTTTGTTTTTCTTTTTTGTTCCCAAATTCTGCACCCTGACTTTCTTATACCTCTGAGAGGGTTGACCAAACCCCTAGTGAGTAAGTCATGAAAGAGCAATGCTACACACTGTACATCAAGCATGTCAAACTCATAGGCTAACACAGGCCAAATAAACCATGGTTTAAGTTTATGTAGGCCGCAAAAAAACCAAAAACATTTTCATTAAAAAAAAAAAAAAAAAAAGTTGCCTAACTGACATTGGATGTCTCCATGCTCATAGGGCTTCAAAGTAAACAAAAGAGTGAATTTATTTTAAGGAGACATGCATTTACATATAACCAATTTTTCAGTCCAACTACCTTGACCTATTAAGAAAAGTTTGGTAATGCGTCTGAAATGGTGAATGTATGCTGTTGCACAGCTGTAAAAAAACAAATTAAGTTATCTTGTTGATTTTCCTATGAGTGTGTATTGCACTTTGGCTGAAATAAAATTTGATGATCTCAGCCAATCCAATGCTTTCTTATAGGAAAGCATTGGGAGGCTATTGTGCATGTGTGGCAAAAATTTGCGCGGCCAATCAGCATCTCCATGAGGAGCGTTCAGCACCTCATGCAGACCCAATCTAATGCACTGCCCACACATCCAATACATTGCCCCCAAATTCAATCTAATATACTACAGTCTTCACCCAATCTACTACACTGCCCCTCCTCTTTTCACTTTAATTGAATACACTGCCCCCCTCCATCCCCTAATTTAATACACTACCCTCTGCCCAATTTGACACACTGCCCTCCCCCAATTTAACATATTGCACCCCCTGTCTCATAATTTAATACACTGCCCCCCCTCCCACCACTCTAATACACTGACCCTTTCCCCCAATGTAACATACTGCCCCCTCCCACCACTCTAATACACTGCCCCCCATTATCACTCTAATACACAGGCCCAATCCCTCCCCCAATTTAATACACTGCCCCTCTCCCTCCCCAAAATGAATACACTTCCCCTTCCCTCCCTCAAATGAAAGGTATCCTATAGTGTTAATAGGGTAAATATGCCAGAATACAGATTGGATGTTTGTACCTGCTATTTGCTGCGCATTCCACTATTTGCTATAGGTCTGTCCACCGATTATGGTTCCAGACACACCTCCTAAAATCAAAAAGATCCTTGTCCTACCAAGTGACATTTTTGTCAGTATGTAAACATTTCAACTAAATTTAAATGATTGTTCAACTGCATGTTTTTAAGCTTTTGTTGAACACTAAAATGGATATTAATATAAATGATACATGTGAACATATAGGTTAATGAGATCCAGCATTTCTTAATACACATAATTCTTACTTTCTTCTCAGCTTTCAGATTACATTGAAAATAATTTTTGGTTAAGGAACTTTGAAATGTCGGGGTGAAAGTCCAAAAATCTTTTGTGTCACTTTCTGGAGATGAAGAAAAAACAAACATCATTCTGAAATGAAATATTTTTCTACTTTTCATCTTATCATCCTACAAAGATTGCCAGATTCAAGAAGCAACTAACGCAATAGATCTCACTGGGCTATTAATTAGTTGAGATCAGTACATCATATTGGACTATTAATTAGTTGAGATCAGTACATCATATTCATTAGGTTATACAGGCATTTGCAATAAATACATGATTCACTGTATTCTCAGTGCAACTGGAGACTCATTTGACACTGTAAAAGAGTGTAATGAAGGCGCTTTGTTAAATTCATTCTGCTATATTTTTAAGAAGGGACAATGAACAGATTTTGCTGTTAAAGAATTGTTCACCAAGCTATTACTATGTAAAAAATGTGGGTACTTGCCTAAGAACTTGTGATTACCTGTTTTTATCTTTAAGATTTCCGATTTTTAAAAGAAACATTCATAGCTGACCTATCCCTGTGAGCAGAAATAAACTGTATAAAGATGTTTCATATTCTATGCCCATGCCTTCCCTTATTCATTTTCATACAACAGAACAAATAACTGTTTATATGTTTTGTTATATATAACAATATATTCATATTATTTAATGTCATATCCCAATCAATAGGTGAAAATGTTATGTTAATAGAATTTCAGGGTTGTTATGGTACTGTAAACATACCTTCAATACATTTGTTTTTTTCCTGTGGTCTCTTCGGTAACAGTAATTCGCATCCAAAAGTGTTGTCGACTGATTTTGCTCCCTCCCAACAATCATTTATCTACAATACAATTAAAAGATTGAAACCAATATCATAAGTGCAAGGATTATTCTGTACTACATAAATCATTTAGGAATGTTCACATTTCATTAATTTATTGCATGTATCCCAGTACGTACTTTTAATGCACTACATATGGTTTCAAAATATTATGTCGACTACACATTGTCCATAGTTGACCTTCATTATTATATTCATGATATTTGTTTTTATTTAGAATTTTATTTAGCTATAAATCCAACAATATAATCATCAGAGTATATATTTACATCAATATATCGCTCACATATAGATATAAAACATGCATTAAAAAAACTTGTTCAAAGAGTTAGCATAAAAAATAAAGAAAATCAAACAAAAAATATACTCTGCAATCGTTAACAAAATAAAGTCAAAAGAATAGGTGGGCTTTCTCATGTTTAGCAGAAAAGGTCATGTTCGATAATTTTCAAATGAAAACAGCTTGTTTTTGTGAATGGAAGCCAATGCCAAAAAAATCCAATGTTTACAAAATATTAACCATACCAAAGAGCTTAGTGGATATGTTGTAAAACACTGCTTACCAGATCTTGTGTTTCCAACCCACACTCTATATGAGCTAATTTCTGATTTACCATTTCCATGGACCCAATTACAAATACTGGAATGCAGGTGAAGGAAAAGAAACGGAGCATCGTAAATTGCTTTCAGACAAGAAACAAATAGCGATATTTCAGAGCTCAGGTCTCCAGCTGCCATATATCAGGATCAACTTTACTCTTCAAGATTAAAATGTTGTTAAAAGGAGCACTATTTAAAGGGACACTATAGGCACCAAAACAACTTTTGCTTAATAAAGAAGTTTTGGTGTATAGATCGTGTCCTTGCAGTCTCACTGCTCAATTCTCTGCCATTTAGGAGTTAAATCACTTTAATTTATACAGTCCTATTCACAACTGTCTGCATATGACTTACACAGCCTTACACAACACTTCCTATAAAGAGAGATCTAAAGTTTAAACTTCCTCTATTGCACAGTCTATTAGATTTTCTTATCTCCTGTTCAGTCAATCACCTGCTAGAGCAGGAGATAAAAACTTTTATAACAAGTTAACAATTGATTGAAAATGAAACAATTTCTAATGCAGGTTGTATGAGTCACAGCCAGGAAATGTATGGCTAGGGGTGCATAAACGGAAGAAAAAGTGATTTGACTCCTAAATGGCAGAGAACTGAGCAATGAGACTGCAGGGGCAGTTTATTAAAACAGTTTATTAAGCTAAAGTTGTTCTGAACACTCCAAGCACCATAACAATTACAGCATGCTATAGTGGTTTTGGTGCCAGAAGTACCCTTGAAGCCTCTTAATGTAAGGGGCAAACCATTTAGTAATAAAAAAACCATTGTAAATGAACTCTCCACTGGATGATCTCTTTCTTGGGCTAAGCCCAGCAGTGCAGGACATAGCTCATTGGCTAAGAGTAAAGTGATGATAATCTCAACCAATGAGCTGCAGTGGTTATGATGCTTGAAATATCCTTTTAAGTTGGATAATCTAATTATCACTGCACTGTTAACAAAAGAACCAATATGAAAGAATTATAATAAAATGCCCTTCCAGATGTAGAATAAGACATGGATTAAAGCATAAACATAATATCATTGTGGAATAGAGCTCCAATATGAGACAGCTAATTTGAAGTCTTTCAAAGCTGCATACAATTACCAGATTTGGATTATTATACATGGTCAGTTATCATAATTTAAATACCTGAAAGTTGCTTAAAGAGTTACACCAAGCACAATGACAACTTCACTTATTTGAAGTGATCATGGTGCCTGGAGTCTTTAGGTGCACTATCAATGCACAGGTGCAGGTGTTGTAACTTGACCTCTGGCCGTGTCATTAGGCATCAAGAGCCAGCCAAGAACAAGAGGTCAGGGTCGCTAATGTGAATCCTGTGAAAATGAACATCTGTCGCCAGCATGCACAGTATGTTGACGCCAGACAACCAATGGCGGCATGGCCCCCCACTCCGTGCCACCCATGCTCTCCCCTCAATCTGCCTTGCCTCTGGTGAGAGCGAGTCACATCAGCCATGGAGGATTGGGCTGCAGGGAGAACTTGGCTTAGGTCCTGGAAAACAGGTAATTTTGTTTCTTTATACAACCTCAACCACACCAGTGAGAATACATGAACAAAGGAACAGTAAACTCTTAAATTCACAATAAATATGAAGAAGTAATAAGATCCCTCCAGGTTTTATCTTAATTCTCTTTTTTTGGTGGGAGACCACCTCAGCAAAGGTTACCATAACCAAAACCAGTGTTTTAGGAAAACACAGATTTTTGGTTGGAGTTATCCTTTAAAGGACCACTCTAGGCACCCAGACCACTTCAGCTTAATGAAGTGGTCTGGGTGCCAGGTCCAGCTAGGGTTAACCCATTTTTTTATAAACATAGCAGTTTCAGAGAAACTGCTATGTTTATGAATGGGTTAAGCCTTCCCCTATTTCCTCTAGCGGCTGTCTCATTGACAGCCACTAGAGGCGCTTGCGTGCTTCTCACTGTGATTTTCGCAGTGAGAGCACGCAAGCGTCCATAGGAAAGCTGAATGCGCGCGCAGCTCTTGCCGCGCATGCGCATTCAGCCGACAGGGCGGAACAGAGGCAGAGAGGAGGAGGAGAGCTCCCCGCCCAGCGCTGGAAAAAGGTAAATTTAACCCCCTTTCCCCTTTCCAGAGCCGGGCGGGAGGGGGACCTTGAGGGTGGGGGCACCCTCAGGGCACTATAGTGCCGGGAAAATGAGTATGTTTTCCTGGCACTATGGTGGTCCTTTAATGTCAATATGTTTAAGATGGCAGAAGATTAGAATGTTATGCATCACCTAATGGACTATTACATAATTGTATTATCTTATATTAAACGTCTTACAGATATTTGGGTGGTCATCCTGTAAATTCATCTATTATATAGAAATAGAACCACTGAATCTATACAAAATGAAAAATGTTACTGCTAATCAAGGATACAAGCTGGTGATTGTAATTCTCCTGTTTGTGGAACATTTCTTCTCTTACTGTGCTCTGGGGAGTCCCCTTGCTGGAGAATTATTGAAGAATTTAAAAAATTGATGGAATCCATTCTCCCACTCTATAAAGAACAGGAACAAGCTTTAGTAGTTTTCAAACAAGCATGTGTTTACTAACATTATAGTGCCCTAGGCCCTAATTTGATTTATCACCCACCACCATGAGCAATATCAATGAGTTATAAAAGGTTTTACGTTTTCCTGCACTCACAGAGACTTCCTCAGTGCTCCAGGCTGCAACGCTTCCCACAACATCATCATGGAGGCGTTGCTTCCTGGTTGATCCTCCAATCCAATACTCCTCATAGAGGAGCAATGGAGAAGAAATGCACATGCGCAGCGAGCATGCCAAATCAAAAGCTTCTCATAAGGAAGCATTGAATAAAATTTGATGTAGGAAATAGTTAATATCCTACCTATCATTGTGGTTCAAGGCTGGAGGCTTTGTTTAGACACTGGAGAAGTGAAATACCCACATATTTTGCCAAACCAGTCTATAATGATTTGATAAGGGGATCACAATAAGCAGTGGTGGTATGGATTCTGTTGGATTTATATAAGTTGAGGATTGTATATCAATTTAATATGATGTACTCTGTTACCACCACTCTCCTAATATACTACAGTAATGCATGTGAACAGGATATAATTCATGAAGTATTGACATGTTGTATGCATGCCATCAAGGGACATTTGAAATTTGCATTGGATGCCAGGATGAGCCCAAATTGCTTTGTTTTCCTTTGATGTGATTGAATTTTATATGGAACACTCCAGGATAGATTTACAGGAACCATATGGCACCATAACAATGTCATCAAAATTAAGTTGTTATGGGTCACATAAGTCCCTGGTACTTCCTAATCTGAAGTTGTTAAACAGTTCTTGAAAGGGTTGCTCTCCAGTGCTGTAACTTACTGTCCCCAATGCAGCTTCAGGAAGCGAGGAGTGCTGTCGGGCAGTTACATTGGTGGAATATCTAAAAACAGCTTACAAAAGCTGTAGATCTATTGTTTGCTACCTTTGCAAGCCCTCATCTTCCACAGCACAGATTTTCTCCACTGAGCTAAACAACCAGTTAGTAACAGGGTGAGTTGACAGCCAGCGGAGTGTAATCAGGTTAATTTGTATAAGTGCCAAATTCTTTTGAAATGCGAGAATCCATAGTGAATTCAAAATTATTTTTTTTATTGGTTTTACTCCTGTTTATTATTTTGCCATTAAATATTGAAGATTCATGGAAGTATTCTCAACTACTTCATTGTGGTGGTCAAAAACCTGAATACAGTGTCAAGCAAGCTTACCATAATCTTAATCATGTGAGTTGTTCTGTGGAACTGTGATTATTCCATTACACTATGAAAATTCATTTCATTATAGAGTAAATCTCTATAGTAAAATAATCTCTATAATATAATCCCTATAATAAAAGGGAGAGGACACATCAACAGTCCTACAAGTGCTATCCACTAGAGGCAAGTGTCATTTTTTGGCTCTCATATATGTGACTTTTATAACTCATAACTTCATTTGATCTTTTATTTTTGTGTCTCTTATTTTTAGCTATATCTGCTATCAGAAAGATTATAAGATAAGTTACATATTAAGCGCTCCGCCTATATTCTTTACTGTATACTAACGTTACAGAGCACAGACCACCATGAGCAATATAAATGACTTATCAAAGGTTTTACTTTTTCCAGCACTGAGACTTCATCATGGAGGCGTTGCTTCCAAGTCGATCATTCAGTTCAATACTCCTCATAGAGGAGCAATGGGGAAGAAATGCACATGCGCAGCGAGCATGCCAAATCAAAAGCTTCTCATAAGGAAGCACTTAATTAAATGTTCTCCTATGAGTTGCATTTAGTTACTCTACAGGGCCACTGCACTCAAACCACTTTATTGAGCTATAGTGGTCTAGGTGCATTTAGTGGTCCTTTAAAGAGACACTTCAAAACCCCTAAAGCCCGTCAGTTTGACAAAATTATATTTTATCCCCTCCCCTCCCTTTCCCGTAAAAACAATTTTTTAAATTGTTGCGGTATACCAGACCCATCTACAGATGGGTCTTTCTCAAATAGAGTTAGAAATCTTAATTGTGCTAATTGCAGCTTTTGCAATGGTTTCAAATTTAGACTGATTAAATTGTCTTATTCAACCAAGTTTTTGGGGCCAATTATTTTGAATGTAATAGTTCAGTTGCTTATTTCACTACTTCGGTTCTGGATTTTCATTCAATTGTATCTGGACTGGTAGAAATCTGGTCTACATTCAATCTAATTCAGAAACTGTATTGCAAAATTCTGACATTGATCAATCTTGCGAACAAGGTCTGGATTTTGTATTCTGAATGCTCCCAGCTGGAAAGGGATTACTTAGATAATCTAGATCAGGGGCATTCAAACTTTAGCGAAAAACCCAGTTTGTGAAATCAGTTTATCAAGATGGATCTTTTGTGATTTTGGCAGTGATGGCAGGTTGCATACTGAAAGCACATGAATTCCATGTACCTGCAGACACTACATGCTTTAATTACTCCTGCTTTCATGAAAGATATAATTCTGAATTAATAAACATCCCACAATGTTATGGCTAGTCAGTAGCTCTAATTCAATTTAGGTTTCCTCAACAGCAATTTTTTGGAAGGGCTCATATAGTGATTATCCACTAAACTCCAGGCTGTCCTGTGAATGGCAAATTTCAGCGGAAATCACAGAATATAATATGAAAGTGCAGGTTGGAAATTTACTAAGCACAATTTAGGGAAATCACACCAAATGTATTATAGAAACACTCCAGGCGCCATAACTGCTAAACCTCTGTCTCTTGGAGGTGGGGAGTAGTGCCCTGAGGACGTTAGATAAGAAGTCATACCATTCAGAAGTAGTTTGGCCCCTTACAATATAAGGGCAGCAGGGCAATCCTGGCAGTGTGCTGTAGTGATTATGGTGCTTGGCATGTTCCTATTCTAAACACCATATGAAATATGGCATTCACACAATTATCAAACAGAATTGACTCTGAATTTGAATAGTTGTGTTTACAATTAAGACTTCTGTATGTTCAGTGTCTGTAAATAATAGAACGGCCAAATATTTGCACAGCCAGCAACCAAACTGGTGCCCATACCCCTGTTAACCACGAATAAGTATTACTATGGTTCCTATTCCCTCACACCATTGGTGGAGTAACAATTCAGAAGACATGCAGGTGTAGCTGCTTCCTTGTCCTATACCTAGTACTGGGTGGACGTACATACTGTATAAAATAAACTAGTGGCACTTGATCAATGGTTGAATTAATCTTAGGTCTGGTGGATAACTTACCTGCAGGAAAACCTGCTTAATTGACCCCACAATATTTCACCAATGCATAGTAAGTAATAGGTTAATATGTTATTACAGGGATTCAATGCATCCCTGTCAACAAGAAAACCTCAGGCGTCCCTCTTAACTACAATGAAGGGGTTGCCCAGTATTCCATGATATGTGCTAAACTACCCTATTTAAATACCATGCTGGGGGAGCTATTTATTTTGGTTAATATTTTTATAATTGTTCAGAAATGTATTCCTCATCTGTTTATCACTATCACATGACATTTTGTTTGATTCAATTTAGAGCTTATTCAGACATACCAACATGCACGCAGCCACCAAACATGTATGAACAAGGACATGACATTATATTATGACAGAACACAACTATTTATTTAACAACATATTGCTACTCTTTACGCAATATTGAACCTCCAGGAAGTGCCTTTAGTGTCTGACGGGTAGACAGCCACTAGACTCAGTCTTAGCACAGTAATGTAAACTTTGCAGTTTCTCTAAAACTACAACGTTTTGCATTGCAGGGCTAAGATTAACAGGAACACTGCACCCAGACCATTTCAATGAGATGAAGTGGTCTGGGTGCCTATAGTGTAGGACTTATAGTGTCCCTTTAATAGTCACATCTGTAGATAAATCACTGAAAAGGTTTTTTTTTTTTTTAAACAGATTTGAATATTTTCAGATGCTCATACAAATTAATGAAATTGAGACCTTAGTGAATATTCCTGTAAGAAGGTTTCATAATGTGGTGATGTGCATGAAAAGAATGTCTTGCAATACGTACCATTCATATGCAGCAGAAGTAACATGAAATAATTAATCTTGACTTTTTGGGATATCTTTCATAATGAATTGTTTTTCTTTCTGCTGCATATTCTAAATACTATAAAATGCTGGTTGCACCCACGACCATGACATCTGCTTAAGCCTCCCCACCTGCCAATGTTAATCTAGTCTAATTCCACCTGATTCTTTTGTTTAATGTGCTCACTGATGTATAGCCACTAATCTATGTAAGGCAGCAGGGAGAAGAGTGTCACATGAGAAATGAAAAATTAAAGGGACACTATAGTCACCTGAACAACTTTAGCTTAATGAAGCAGTTTTGGTGTATAGAACATGCCCCTGCAGCCTCACTGCTCAATCCTCTGCCATTTAGGAGTTAAATCCCTTTGTTTATGAACCCTAGTCACACCTCCCTGCATGTGACTTGCACAGCCTTCCATAAACACTTCCTGTAAAGAGAGCCCTATTTAGGCTTTCTTTATTGCAAGTTCTGTTTAATTAAGATTTTCTTATCCCCTGCTATGTTAATAGCTTGCTAGACCCTGCAAGAGCCTCCTGTATGTGATTAAAGTTCAATTTAGAGATTGAGATACAATTATTTAAGGTAAATTACATCTGTTTGAAAGTGAAACCAGTTTTTTTTTTTTTAAAAGGCTCTGTCAATCATAGCCAGGGGAGGTGTGGCTAGGGCTGCATAAACAGAAACAAAGTGATTTAACTCCTAAATGACAGTGAATTCTGCAGTGAAATTGCAGGGGAATGATCTATACACTAAAACTGCTTTATTTAGCTAAAGTAATTTAGGTGACTATGGTGTTCCTTTAATAATGGATTCCTGTGCTCATTAGTTAAGTAATATGCCAAATTCATTTAGTAAAAATGACCTGCAATGAATCGTATTTTATTTGTAATATGCTTATTAATGTAATTTGTTAACTTTGTATTTTTTTTTTTTTTAGTATGTGAGACATAGGAATGTATTCACTGCATACGCAACTTAAAAATAAATTGCAAAAAAAACAAAAACAAAGCTAAACTAACAAAGCTGGTATAGTAGCTGACTTAAAGAACTTTTCCACCTCATCTATTTAGCCTACGTTTTGCTATTCGGTTTTCAATTCACCATAATTTGCAGGCTTATTCACTAAAGTGAGAATTCAAAGTGAATTTCAAATTAAAGGTAAAAATTACAGAACTGGAAAAATTCTCTTAGCTATACTTTCAGTTTGGCTACTCTGCCCTTAAATTGGAAATTCACTTTGAATTCTTGCTTTAAGGGACACTATAGGCACCCAGGCCACTTCAGTTAAATTTTTAAGAAACTGCAATAATTATCTTTCAGGGTTAACTGCACCTCTAGTGCTGTCTACCAAACAGCCACTAGAGGGACTTCGGGCTGTTAGGCGACTTTTGGTCACCTAACTGATGCTGGACTCCCAGTGTCACCCGAATCCCCATAGGAAAGCACTGTATAATGCTCTCCTATGGGGAAATCCTAATTTGAGTGTGGTCACTGGAGCAAAGGCGGACCCGAGCCAGCGCGGAGGAACACCGCGCTGGACCCAGGTAAGTGGCACAAGGGTTTTTTAACCCCATGTCTTCTACTGCTAAAAAAATACAACCCTGTTACAAGGCAGCCTTTGAAACTGAAGATGTTTTGGACTACCTCTCCCATAATGCTCTTACAGCCATAATGCTAGCAAAGCATCACTGGAGATGCATCCACAATATCTGGCGTACCGAATGTTGTCTACTCCTGTGCATGTTTAACCAATCAGGGTATTCCAATTTGGCTATATTTGGCCTTCGTTTTGCAAATCTTTGGCATTCTCTGTTAAAGAGACACTATAGGCACCCAGACTCCTTCAGATCATTGAACTGATTTGGGTGAAGTCCCTTTAACCCTGCAAGTGAAAACAATGCAGTTTCAGAGAAGGTTAGGCCAAACCCAAGTGGCCGGCTGCCAGAAACGACATTGGACATTCTCACATTTTGCATGAGAACATCCGGCGTCTTCAAAATCCCCATTGGCAAGCACTGATTCAATGCCTCCCTATGGAGAGGGTCTAATGTGCATGCAGTGCGTGGCGTGCGGGCACACTACGTCCTCCGTCAGCGTCGCTAGAGGAGGAGACGGATTGGGGAAGTGAAAAGAGTTTTTTGGGTTTTTTTTTTAACCCTGTTAACCACTCCATGGAGTGACTGAAGCTCTATATAAAGTCTATCAGGATTATTCAAAGTGAATTGGAAATTCAAGGTAAAAATAGTCGAACTGGAGACATTCTCCGAGTCGGCCATGCTCACAGTTCGGCTACTTTGGTCTAAAATGTGAAATTCACTTTGAACAGTCCCTTTATGTGAATGACCGTTATGTGTATAGTATTAGCCTCCCATGCCGGCCCTCCAGCCAGGCCGCAGCCATCCGGCCTTCTCGTTACCTGAATCCGAGACCCTGGGCAATAACTGCCGCCGAGCGGTGTATTAGGTTACCATGGAAACACTGAGCCGTACCATATTCTACTGTTTTTTTTTTTTTACACATTTACTGAGGATTCTGCTGCTGGATATCCCCATCCTCTCCGTATTCAACACGGTTTATAAATCAAAGCAGCTACTAAAACCCGATGGCGTTAAAGACAATAAGAAACAGAGCGATGGCTGATTAACCCGGGTCATACAATGGTACAGTCCACGGTCGCTGGCAGTTGGGGTAAAGCTGTTGCCATGACAAATGAAGCTGGACGAGTCCATTACTGGCAGAGGGTTGGATGGTGTAATATTCATATTGAGGTAACCAAGAAGCCGTTTATGTATTCGCAGGAAAAAGATGGCAGATGACATGCAGTAATGGACAATGGTTGTGCTAATTTAATGTGATTGTTTCGCGTTTCCTCCTGGTTTGATCTCCTCGGTGGTACATTCCGGTCGTTGCGCATGCGCAGTGTGTGCGGAGAGGTTGAGCTGGGAAACACCGGAGTCCGGGCAGTCAGTTACTCGGGGTCGGCTGATGGTTGGCAGACAGTGTCACAGGTAAGCGGATAGCGCATTGCAGACAGGGAGCCTGTGTTAGCGGCGCCTCCATCACACTGGGTCACACTGTGCCCTGCGGCCTCACAGCAGCCTTCTGTAATGAGGGAACAGCTCTCCCATCATAGCCAGCTAACTAACTAACTAGCCAGCCAGCCATAGAGCCAGCTAACTAACTAACTAGCCAGCCAGCCATAGAGCCAGGTAACTAACTAACTAGCCAGCCAGCCATAGAGCCAGGTAACTAACTAACTAGCCAGCCAGCCATAGAGCCAGCTAACTAACTAACTAGCCAGCCAGCCATAGAGCCAGCTAACTAACTAACTAGCCAGCCAGCCATAGAGCCAGCTAACTAACTAACTAGCCAGCCAGCCATAGAGCCAGGTAACTAACTAACTAGCCAGCCAGCCATAGAGCCAGGTAACTAACTAACTAGCCAGCCAGCCATAGAGCCAGGTAACTAACTAACTAGCCAGCCAGCCATAGAGCCAGGTAACTAACTAACTAGCCAGCCAGCCATAGAGCCAGGTAACTAACTAACTAGCCAGCCAGCCATAGAGCCAGGTAACTAACTAACTAGCCAGCCAGCCATAGAGCCAGGTAACTAACTAACTAGCCAGCCAGCCATAGAGCCAGGTAGCCCCTGACCATAGAGCAGGTAGCCCCTGACCATAGAGCCAGGTAGCCCCTGACCATAGAGCCAGGTAGCCCCTGACCATAGAGCCAGGTAGCCCCTGACCATAGAGCCAGGTAGCCCCTGACCATAGAGGCAGGTAGCCCCTGACCATAGAGGCAGGTAGCCCCTGACCATAGAGGCAGGTAGCCCCTGACCATAGAGGCAGGTAGCCCCTGACCATAGAGGCAGGTAGCCCCTGACCATAGAGGCAGGTAGCCCCTGACCATAGAGGCAGGTAGCCCCTGACCATCCCTGTCCGCAGAGGCAGGTAGCCCCTGTCCGCAGAGCCAGGTAACCATGGTAGGGAAGCCTGGAACAAAACTGCTGGGCTGACATCTCAGTAATTAGGGTGGCAGTGTCTCGGGGTATTTTTGGTTGGTTGTTTTTCTTTTTTCTTTTTAAATCTAGAAAACCTGGGACCTTGCTAACTAAACATGACCTATCTACCCCTAGAGTCTATCAGATAACCTTGGACCCTGCTAATTAAATACCACCTATCTACCCCTAGAGCTACTTAGGGACCCCGCTTCACGTAAGCGCTCTAAACCATTGGACTTCACTGTTGGTTCTACCCAGATTACTACTTCTACTTCTTCTAGTGCTAACCTTAATATCGGACCTAATATCTAATAGTGTATCCTTCAAACCTTAAAGCGACACTATAGGCACCCATATCACTTCAGCTTATTGAAATGGTCTGTGTGCAGTGTCCCAGTACCCTTAACCCTGCAATTGTACTTACTGCAGTTTTTGATAAACTGCAATAATTACCTTGCAGGCCACTAGAGGCACTTCCAGGTTTTATTGCGCTAAATGACGCTGGATGTTCTCACGCTTTGCATGATGACATCCAGTGTCATCCAGGTCCCCATAGGGAAGCATTGCTATCCTAATGTGATTGTTGCGGTTGCCTGCTGACATTGTCAGAGGCGGAGCTTGACCCAACGTCAAGAGAAATCAGTGCTGGAATCAGGTAAGTGATAAAGGGATTTTTAACCCCTTCAGCACCACTGGGGTGGGGGTGCAAAGAAGGGAGCACTATAGGGAGCTGTAGTGCTAGGAAAACAACTTTGTTTTCCTAACGCTATAGTATCCCTTTAACAATTACCTTCGGGTGTTCTACCATTTAACACCCCAATGTCTTCTGTCAAGGCTATTCAGTAATGTCCCTTCAACATCCATTAAGTCTTCGGCTTGAAACAGGAAAATTTTGCTAGATTACAGGATCTTGTCCATTGTAGAGAAAAACAAACTTGTCGTACTTACTTAAATTCTTTATTTATTTATTTTTGGCAGTTTCACCTTAAAAGGACAAGAGTTGCAGATTAACACTGGAATCATCTCTGTTTTTGGGCAAAATGCCTCTTTTTGGAAATACATTTAGTCCGAAGAAAACTCCACCTAGGAAATCTGCCTCCCTCTCCAACCTGCATTCGGTATGTGTATAAATAAATTGTTCTTTAGATTTTGAGTATCCCTATTAGTCTAGTGATGCAATTGTAGAATTATTGGGCTAGGAATTTTGAGGCAAAAAGAATGGTGGAATTTATAGAGTCTAAATAATCAACTGAAAAATGATATGAACTTGATAAAATGGGCAAATCAAAAAAGCTTGATGGTAAAACATGTTAATTTGTATGTGAAAACAACATGGTATTAGTGTCCTCTACTCTTATTTGTTCACTCTGTAATCTTGTGTTAAACAGCCACCCAGTGCCCCCCTTTTTTGTAAGCAAGATGTCAAACTGTGCAGCTCTCTTTGCAGACACTTAAGGTAGCAAAAGAGGCTTATGTCTTGGTATTTGTTGAAAGATGATGAGGATTATGTGATATTAAGGAAAAGTAAGGGGTTTGTTGTTCTATAAACGAGTAATTGTGTAGAACTGACAAGGGAAATGTGATTTTAGGCCAAACTAAAAAAATTCTAAAATTCTTTGTCATAAAAGACGTTGAGTGGTTAAAATGTGTGCCAGCTAGGTATACTATATATTTATTTTATTTTTGCAATTATTACTCCAGATATCAGTCTTGGGGACAAATTGTCAGTACCACCTTTACAACTAACTTTTTTGCTTATTTATTGTAGCTGGACAGAACTACCAAAGAAGTAGAGTTGGGCTTAGATTATGGATTGCCAAGTATTAACATTGCGGGTCAAAGTTTAAAATTTGAAAATGGACAGTGGATTACAGGTAAGCTAACCCCTTCACTACTGAACCTTTTTTTGATTGGAAAAAAACACTATTATCATAACATTATACCATGTTAGTAAAGCATAACATTAGCATAAATTTACACAATTTGTATTTTTTTTCCACTTATTCATTCAGCCTTTTACAAAACAATGTTTGCAAAATAAAAAAAACTGTAGACATTGTAACTTTTCCTTTACCTAATAATATTTCACATAGGGTCTGAAAGCAGAAATAGAACTGTTCTCACTAACCCACATCTTACTTGATATGGTAAGACCCCAAAAAATAGACAAAAGTTATCAAATAGCAAAAAAATGTCCCAGTGTTCTAAATAAAGGTATTTAAACTGCTACAGCAATATTCATCAATCTCTGGATTGCTAATGCATTAACAGTGAAAAGGTAGTCCATTCATTGTCCCCTTCCTGAATGTTGAAGCTTTTTTCATCGCCAAGTAATAAAGTACATGTATTTGTGACTAACTCTCAGTTTGATCACTTTTTTTTGCGCTGATTAAAAAAACAATTTTTTTTACATTTTAAAAAAATGTGCTCCACAAGCTAGTCAAAAAATGGCATTAATTCACTTGATCAGACCCAGCTTTCTTTTATTATTATTATCATTTTTATTGCACCAACAGATTCCGTAGCGCTTTACAATATTATGAGAGGGGGGATTTAACTATAAATAGGATAATTACAAGAAAACTTACAGGAACAATAGGTTGAAGAGGACCCTGCTCAACGAGCTTACAGTCTATAGGAGGTGGGGTATAAAACACATTAGGACAAAAAATATAAATCAAATAAGGTGGGAGTGAAGCGGAGCTGGAGGAGAGATTAGAGTGCTGCCTTTTAGGAGAGAGAAAAATACACAAAGGTTACTCTGGGAGGCCATAAGCTTTCCTAAAGAGATGGGTTTTAAGGCACTTCTTAAAGGGTTGAGGACTACGGGAGAGTCTGATGGCAGTAGGCAGGTTATTCCATAGGAAGGGAGCTGCCCACGAGAAATCTTGCAAGTGCGAGTTGGCCATACGGGTGCGAGCAGCGGACAGGGGAAGGTCACGGGCAGAGCAGAGAGACTGAGAAAGGGCATATCTATGGATCTGTGAAGAGACATAAGAGGGGCTAGAATTGTTCAGTGCTTTATATGCATGGGTTAGCACTTTGAATTGACTCCTATAGGATACAGGAAGCCAATGTAAGGACTGACAGAGGGGTGAGGATCGATTAGAGGAAAATCAGTCTGGCTGCGGCATTCATTGCAGACTGTAGCGGGGGCAATACGGCTTTTAGGAAGACCAATCAGGTAAAGGTTACAATAATTCATGTGGGAAATTACTAGCGCATGGACAAGCTTCTTGGTAGCATATTTTAAGTTGGAGTCTACAGGATTTGGCAACATACTGGATGTGAGGCTCAAAGGTGAGGCCAGAGTCAAGTATGACGCTAAGACAGCGTGCGTGCAAGGATGGACCTATGTGGATACCACTGACTTGAAGGGAGAGCAAGAGAGGAGGATCAGTATTAGGAGGAGGAAAGACAAGGAGTTCAGTTTTTGAGAGATTGAGTTTCAGAAAGCGGGAGGACATCCAGTCAGAGAAAGAAGAAAGGCA